ATAATCATTATTCTTAAAACTTGATAGAACTGATCCTGGTTAGCAGTTGAAGGGCNTAGTTTTATTTGTTAACAGATGATCACAGATGGTTAAGGTCCAATATTTTGATGATTGGAAATTCAGAAGGGATACAGGCTCCCTCTTCCAGGGGTCTCCTCAGCCTACTCTAGCTGTTACAGAATGTGGATGAAAGGCCCCTGTGGGATTTGAGATGATCAAGCTGTCTAACTCATATGTAGCCAACCCACCCCTACCCCAGTGCATACCCCTACCCGCCTCTTAGTACACTGATACAGCAGCAGAGGAGGTGATTGCAGGGTTGACAGTAATCACATAGCAAGGCACCTTGAATAAGTCTGAAGTCATGCTTAACCCACTGTTTACAGCTATAATTAATATATGGACAGTAATAGGCACTTCCCAACACCAAGGTGTGAAGTTTTCCCTGCTGTTTTATCATTTTTGGGGGTATATACATATAACTTGCATGTTGTCTCTACATATAGTGTGTTTTTTAAGTCTAAAAGTAATCCATAAATGGAACATGCTATGATTTTCAACCACAATTTTCATCATCAAACTGTTGTTTTTTAATGATAGTGTTTGTTTAATGGTCAGTCAGAATGGTGTTAAATAACCAAGCCTTCCAATTGCTTTTCATGAACACCCCCCCCCCCCCCCTTTTTTTTAAGAATTGACTCAGACAATCTGATATTTTGGCATATCTGTCAGATAATGTCATTTACCAGAGTCATCCAGGAATTGTTATACTTAGCTGAAAGTAAAAAAAAAAATTAAAATGAATTACAAATAAATATCTCTTCCACTGGCACAATGGAACCTTACCAAAGAGAGGAGATGAAGTGGTGCATAAATTAACTTGTGGTCAATGCTAGATCAACTGTTCAAGCCTGGACATTATGATCTATTAAAACTGGTTACCTGTTAACAGTTAAGAGTTGAGTGACTTGCATTATCAGATATCAGTATATGCTCAATTCATTCTTTGTTCTTTTATTATTATTATCTTAAATGTACATATAACTTCTATGGTTTTATGTGATTTTAAGTTTGTAGATACCTGTAGATAATTGAAATAAACAGTTTTAATCTAACAATATTTATGGAAATTTGCTGAAGTGCACTAGAATGATTCAGACCATGTACAGTCAGTTCTAGATCCTTTCCTAGTAATTTCAGCATTAAAGAGATACAAAATTAAGATTATGATTGATACAGATCAGCCCATTATTCCTCCCTCCCCAGTCGACTCTAAACTCAGTTATTGGCTTGATCCATACTCCCATGAGTTATTAGGTTTGTGGTACATGCATGAGGGAGCAATGAAAGGGGAGGGGGAGATTTTGTTAAGAGATGAGTGTATTATTTAGTGAAATAGACCTACTTTGTGTTATTTCTAGAGATGTTTTTTTTTGTCATCTGAAGATCTATATGGTATAGGTATAAATGCTCTTAGCTATAAGTGATGTCTTCTATTTTGACCATTGCAGTTGCCAAGATTACTGTAATAGCAGTAAACATGTATCAGTACTGTGAGTTTAAGAAAGCTCAACCATGCAATTTGCATGCAATGTAATAGCATGACTTTTGAATCTTTCCCTTAAGTATGCAGCTATTTCTGTCAAACAGAGACAAACAAGTAAAATAAACGAGCAAAAAAGTATTCGTTGTGAGATGTGAAATAGTCCTTTTCAATTTCCCTAGGGCACATGCTTATTTTATGAAAGATTAAGGACTACAGAAAAAATATGTACTGAGTAATTTGGATATGGTCTCCAGATGATAACACAGCAATTGAGAAATACATCTAAGAAGTAATTAAAAAGTGACTTTTAGTTTTGTCTCGCTATATAAGCTGTCAATGCTGCCTAAAATGATTATGTTTTCATCATGGGAGTATGACAGATGATAGCTGCATGTAAGGTAAACTCCCACATGCTCATGGAGAGGTTCAATTTTTAATATACATGAGGAATAATATATGTTGCGATGTAAAAGCTTTCCATTTAGAAAATTCTGGGGATTTTCTATTTTTGACTAAAGAATTCAAGATATCAAGTTTTGTAGGCTCAATAAATTCAATTTTAAGATTAGAATTGAATTATTCTTCAAGATATTTAAAAATCTGTAACATAACATAACCATTATTTTTAAAACTTGATAGAACTGATCCTGGTTAGCAGTTTAAGGGATAGTTGATTTCTTATTTGAGACAATAGGAGGGTCAAATATCAACCGAATATTATCCTTCTTCTACAAGAATTTTTTTCTAATTTCGTAAACAGTTGGTAGAGGTTACCACTCCTTTGATACAATTTAGTTTCTATTCTGTGTAATATTTTATTTCATAAATGAGTTATATGTGATAGTACTGATAATATATTTCCAATTAAATGATTGGTGCAGGCCCACAACTCCTACTGCTAATACTATCTTGCCTCTCAGTTGGGACCCTCTGCCTTTGCAAAGACAGGCACAGTAAGACAGCAAGCACAGTAAGGTGTTGCTACAAACACAAACATGTGTTAATTTGACAGCACTGTACAGCAGTGACGTTCTGAAGCAAATGGATTAAAGTGGTAAAGAAGTGCATTCTCTTGTACTTCCTAGCATTACTTCACATTAGAGAGGTATTGATCTAGAAGAGATTACAAGTGCTTTCATTTTCTGAGACTTCTGTAATGGATCTCTATATTTGGTTGTTGCGTAGAGAATCTCTTCCTTCTCAGTCGCCAAGAACATTAACTCTTGTATAATTTTATTCTGAATTGATATTTTAAGCATTCTTTTCAGTGGTGCTTTCAGAAATTATGTCACCAATCACCAGTATTGCATTCTTTATGTTACGGCAAATCTTTTGATAATGATTGAAAAGGAAAGATCATTTGTAATATACTTGTAATAACATAAATTCATAACTTTCAAAAGTATGGGTTTTTTCCAGGCTAGATTTAATGCTGAATTGACCTTAGGGGTATAGGTATTCTTCACTTAATTAACAAATGTTTGAAGTTAATAGGGCTCTCTATTTTCCCATAATAGTAGGGGAATTTTCTCATTATCTTACATGCAGATGCTGCAATGTGTAATTTACTCAACCACAAGGGAACCATTCGTTTGGAAGAAGAAAAAAGGACATGAAATGAGGATGAAATTATGTTATCTGGGTATTATCGAAATTGAATGTGTCCCGACAGATTATACTTTAATGTCCCTGCATGAAGTTATAAATCGCAATACAGTTTGAGATTTGTTAGAGCCAGGAACACATTCTCTGCAGGAAGAGACATCAAATATTTGGTTCTTGATGCTTTGATGATAACAATATATCTTTTCTTAACTCGGTAGAAAAGGGGGAAATGATAAGGGCGTGCATGTTGTTCTTCAAAGACAATTGTCCAACATTAAGAATAAATCAGAAGACAGAACTCAGACTTCCAAGATATTTACTTTTTCAGTGATAAGGAATGACTGAAATGTTCTTTTGCTTCCTATCATTTTGCTCCCTTTTATTTTCATCACCATGCATTGTTCATATTTCAGTTATGTATTTTTACTCAGCATCCTGAATACCAACACACAATATGTGACTATTTTAAGCAAACAGGTTTTCCTGTAAATCATAATTGTATTTCCCACTGCACACAATTATTCATATTCAGAGTAACATGTACATGAACCAGTATGATGTAAGTCACGTCAACTTGCCATGTGCTTCTCCATTTAATCCCCTTTGCTGCCCTGTTTGGAGATTTGAGTATTGAACTGGAGAAAGGGAGACGTGTCACATATACAAATTAGTACACCAGAATTTAACAGACATCAATTTTACTGATGGGACTATGATCCAATATGGATGTTTAAACTAAAGCTGCAAAGAAAAGTAGTGTCAAAGAAATAAGAATAAGGTCATGATATACATCACAAAAAACAGGCTGTAGGTGATAAACTTTTCAAAGAAGTAATTTCCAGGAAGCTACCACTCTTACACAGATCAAGTATATTGTCCTGATAATCTAGCGTGAAAATGTCAGATTAAAGGAGGAAATGAGAATTACCCGTTTTATTTTTAATCAAGAATATTTCCTCCCATCGGGCTCATCTTATATTGAAAATATTGCATATATTTTCTACTTAATTGTTTGTAAGATGGATTTTCAACTTGGCAGTGTGACAAAGAGATTGATATTTTAATCTTTTTTAAGAGGCAACATTTAGCTAGTATCATAGGCAGGAGCTACTGATCAAAAATGTAAGGACTATAAACTGGCCCTGCAAAGGTATATTGCCAGAGCAAATTGTGGTAATTTAAGGCAAGGCAAGTACCTCATCTGCTTATACTGTAGATCACTGTGACTAAGATAATGTAATTTAGAAAAATATTGTAAATTCACAGCATTTTCCTTATAGGAAATCGTGTCAGTTCTTACGAATGTGTAGCACTTTTTTTTTTCAGGCAAAAACTTATCAATTAAAATGTCAAATTTGAAAATAAATAGGACTTAACATTTTGTCTTTACCTTACATGTATGTCATAGAAATGTTCTTCCATGTAGCCCAGGTATGAAAATTATATTGGCAGCAAAGTGCATGTACCACCTTTTCTTGGTGGGCATTTGTTTCTTGTCAGAATAAGTTTTCATTTTGTTGTATAGTTGAGAAGTGCTGTTGAGAACCTTGCACGAGCCAAATATTTTCTCTCCAGTTCAATTAGCCTTTTAGGAATTGAATCCAGCTATTTTTACATGTGATCTTTTAAATATATCTCATGCATGGACCTAGCTGGAATTACTAGTACATTACATGAGCAAATTTTTGTGGATATTTTCTTACCTTTCAGCAATGCTAAAGTTTAATGTCATATTTTATAGATAAGCACCTGAAGCACAGTAGCTGTATGTACTTATGATATTATTATATTAATTTAACTATACAATAACACTAAAAAAGTAACAGAATTGGCCCATTATGATACTGACCTATTATTTCTCTGTCACCATCCTGTGACTTGCATTGGCAGACGAAAAATGATAAAATGGCAAACAGAATACTATAGACCTCCATCCTGTCAAGTGTATGAATTCAATCAATGGTAAATATACGATTGAACTATCCTCCCACAAAACAACATTGAATGTCGCTCATGGCCTTGCCTTTCAAAGTGATGAGGTCCCACAACAATGAATATTTTACTCTATTCAGTGTAGATGCTGAGGGTCCAGTAATGTCCAGTTTATCCCTGTGAATGGTCAGTGTGTATAAATCAATCTGTAATTATCCATGTCTATTATCTATATAACCAATCTATAGACCCTTGCTGATTCAGTGGTTGTCAGTATTTACTGCATGTCTTACAGAAACAGAAGTCACTGCTGCCTATGAGTGCAATAATTCGAAATCCCAATTACTTTGCTGACAAGTGATATTTTCAAACAATATCGAGAGCTATTTGTGAAAAAAATGTCACAGTTTGCCTGGGACACCTATGAACTTTCTCCTTTTTCTGTTTTTTCCCCTTTCTAGCCTATGCTATATTGTTCTTGAATAAGCAATGTGTATTCAGCTTAACCTTCAAGTTGGATAGCAACACACTGAGAACCTCAGGAGAACTTCAAGAGGCCACTTTTTCAGTCAGGTTCCAACTCTTGCTAAGCTCCTACATGGCCGTTTTACAATTCATAAAGTGCTGTGATGAATTGCTGCTCTGTGTTTCCCGTGCTCTTTTCACCTTCACTATCTCTGACGACCTCTACTTTTTTATTGGCTCTGTACTTGAATACTTTTCTACGTCCTAATGTCACAAGCCAGGCTTTCTGTCCTCTTTCTACCTGTGTGATTTCAACAAGAGAGACTTTTTTCAAACTGTCATCAAACTTGGCACAATCTCTTGGTGACAGAGTAATGGAAGGACAATCTACTGGCACCAGTCCTGCTCCAATACTACAGATGTCAGGAAGGCTTGGCAGCTAGAATCAATGGCTTAATGCCATGTAAAATGTCCAATCAGTACACAGCACACTGTCTCTTAATGCTCATCTCCTGTAAAGTTTTTACCAGTAGCATGGCCCAGGATGAGGTAGAAAAAGCATTTTCATGTATATTGATGGGTTGGAACTAGTAGTGGGTCACACTGGGTGAGAACTAATACGGCTGATGAAACTGTGTTCAATGATAATTGATCTCTATTGAATCAGAGTTGAAATATTGGCATGTGCATACTGGCTTGCCATGGAATCAGATCCCACTACTCCTATGTGTACTTTTATATATTGGAATTCTCTGTAGACTTATTTTTCAAATTTTTGAAGAATGTGAAAAAACAAGGTAACCAGGATGTTGCAGCATATTTCTTTGAAGCTTAAAAGTTTTTTCTAGTAAAGGTTTAGTGAAATGATTTTTTGCAAAAACCTACTGGTAACCAGATGGTATTAACAACAGGCCTTCCCAACTACCAGACTCGGCACCTACGGGTCCAGTATAAACCGGTTTATCTGACCACACTACCCGTTTTCAAGGTGTGTGTCAGATCGCATAAAAGAGTATCAGCCACCACACCGATTTTACCTGGTGCGCGATGTGATGGCGATGATCCTAGTAATAGATAGACCCCGAGTCAGCGAGGGTTATGTGGCATACACGAGTGCGAAGCACGAGTGGATGTCACATAACCCTCGCTGACGAGGGATCCATCTTATTTAGACCACGGGTCCATCAGCGGGTTATAACGCATTCATGCAAGACGTGCGGTTATGCGAGTTACACCACGTCTGAATCTTTTGTTCTTCACTTCCACCGTGGTCTAAAGCGGGGTTGGAAAGTAGTGCATCTCATCTACATTCATGCGCTGCTGCAATTTTCCCTGTTTATGCTTAAAATCTGACAATACCGCAATTTTTAACATAAAATTTAGGTTCGAACATAGCCAATGATCTGTCGGGGGTTAAATATTTTCTGGACGAGATTCAGTGAGTCGTCTGTCGCCATGTTGTCACTCGGAACTACACCAATGTCTCTGCACTCGACAATAGTATGGAGCTTGTGGAATGAGCCGAGGATTGCCGATTTCCATGTTGTTGTATTCATACGACTCCTACTTGACGAAAACGAGGCTCGATACCCGGATGACAGGTAGGCTTACAAAATTTGTGATGGGGTATGATACTCTTTTATGCGATCTGACACACACCTTGAAAACGGGTAGTGTGGTCAGATAAACCGGTTTATACTGGACCCGTAGGTGCTGAGTCTGGTAGTTGGGAAGGCCTGAACAAGTAGGATGTTTGCGTGTCAAAAATAATGGTTGTATAACTTTTATCATGCTATTATGCTGTATTTTAATTTTTTGTCAAGTATCTTAAATAATCAAGGAGGATAGGCCTGGTAATAAATTGGATTGATGTACTGTTCTGGGACCCCTCCCCCCTTTCCTGATCCACAAAACACAGAATTATGCAAAGTTCTTTAGGTTTATTTTTTGGTGCTGTTACCAATGATATTATCAAATGTTGCATCTGAACCACAGTTATTAAAGAATTGATGACTGGAAAATGATACCAATGACAGTTTGATAACTAATTCACTTTGGCAGGGCTTGCATACAATTCATCCCCAAGGCAGTTTCATATGGCATTTGAAAATCAGATTAGACTTCAGAAAAGGGCTTTTTGATTTGTTTATTCTTTTCTTTTGTAGAAATTGTATTATATATCCACTTATTGAAATTAAATTCAATCCTTTTTTTTATACAGAAAAATTCAATTAGATGTTGACTAATAGCATCGCTGTTATGGACACTGCCTATTTTTATTGCTTTTGCCAAGTGAGTGCTTCAAATTTGAAACAACTAAAATAAAAACCAAATGTATTTAAGCTGTTTTGTTGCATAAAAACATAATTTGGAAATATGTTGTCAAATCTCATAATTGAAAACATTATTGATTTAAACTACAATGTATAAAAGCACCAATGTTACACAAGTACTATAATACTGTAAGGGCATGACCCCTTTGTTTTACATGTGTTCTGCAAACTATAATAGTCAATAAAAAATATAGGGTGTTAGTTTAACATTTAATAAAATATTTTCTTGGCTTCCCCTGGGCATGTGCAAAACAAATTAAAACATTTTTAACAATATTTGACAGTGGAATTCTTATTGTAAAACTGTGATACAGTACCATTAACTCTTGTTTAAAGATTGATCCCATATGGTAAATATTTTCATAGAAATGGGCAATAGATTTATGAAAAAGTTTCTTAAAAGCTCCATGCATCTTATCAGGTTGTGATCTTCAAACTAACAGTACCAGTATGATATCTGTGCAATTTCATTGTGTAATGATTTGTAATTTTATGAAAAATATTTTCTCAGCCTCCCTCCCAGGATACACATCTATTAGACTTTAAATGGTTACATCCTCTTTCCATTTCTAGGCTAACTTTTTTACCGTAATTTATGTTTTTTCTGTGTGGGAAACTGGCAGTCCTCTATTATCTACCAGTCAGATGGATTGCTTGTCCAGACAAAAGCACGATGTTTCAATTTCCTACCAGTTGAGGGAATTAAAAGCCTCATTGCCTAAGGTTGTAAAGGAGAAATCTATGAGAGCACTGCATTCTGTGTCTCTAGCTGGCCATTTATTCAGGAGTAGACTCACTTATTTGGGAGATGGGAACAAATCTTTGAAATATTGATCTAGATCTGGCTGGCATTTTACAGCATCATTGTACTCTACACATTAAATGCAACCGATTTTGCATAACATGTGACGTGCACCCTTTTAAAAGGCGACCATCTGATCCCTATCTTATACTCACAGTAACCATTGATTAGTTATACATTCACTCTCTGTAAATACCATATCTAAAATGTATCCCTTGTTAAATTACATAATGTGGTTTATGGCCAGGTTGCCCCTTTATGATGTATCATTTTGTCTTCTTTTTTTTTCAATTTTTGTAAGATTATTATTTTTCAAGCATGGTTCTTATAATTTGATAGCTGTTATTTACCATAGTCTAAAAGCCCATAAGAACTCATCCTTTAAGCTGAGGATCTCACTTCAATGAATCCATTTTAATGCACTTAAGCTTCAGATGTATGAAGTGAAAAAAAATACTAACTGATAAAACATATGATGAAACTTTGACCACATAATTACCTTTCAATGCGGAGAGATGGGCATATAAGACTTGGACAGTTTACTGATCATGGACATTATTGATCTTGATCGAAGGATAATTTGATATTGACTCCCAGCTCTGCAGGCACAGCTTTGCTGTCTGGACTGCATTATATCAATGAGCACAACTCTGAGCTGACATCTACAATTCCTAAATCCCGTAGAGAGCTCGGCTACAAACTAGGGATTAGAACCTGAGCTCTGCCAGCAGGACAGCATCATCAGCTTAGGCAGTGGGTTATGACTGTCGTCCCATCAACAATAAATTATGTGCATGAGTACTTTGGTTTGAAAAATACATTAAAGAAATACACTTTATAAATGTGTTTGTGTCCACCAACATGAAATACCAACTAATCTCTTCAAGATTTACTCAGGCCCTGGTAGTCAGTATAATTCCTTTTTATGGCCAGACACTACATGTGTCTAGACATATAGTCATCACCTGTGTCTGACATTGCTGTCACCATGCACTTTTTATTGAGAGCACAATAGAAGAAAAAATCACTTACTTTTGATTCTCAAATTTACAGGACTAAAATATATACTATAGCTCCGAGTTCAAAAACCAGTATGGTTTTATAATATTCCTGTTTTTTTATCTTCAACACTTGATTTATTTCATTTCAGTATGATATATATATAGAAGAAATAGATTTCAGATTTGTATAATAAAGGATAAGGGGGGGGGGTACAATGATCTGTTACAAACATCACAAAATGCATTTGCATGCAACCCTACATTGGGTTTTATATTCCACATGCATTTAGATTTTGCCTTAAATCAGCACCAGTCTATTTATACAAACTGAACTACACCAACACTGTAAGCTCACCATTATATCATTTTTATAGTTTACCATTCCAAATTAGTAAGATTCTGAGAAATATTTGTCAAAAAAGGCATGGATGAATTGCTTTCATATACATAAACATGCCTTTGAAACTTTTTAGATAAATCAAGACATTTTATTACTTCAATTGCCTTCATAGCAATTAATTTCAATTGAAAGTGGAAAAATAAAATTGTCAACTGAGGATATTTTCCATTTGTATTTTTTTATGTTTTATGTTTTTAAAATTCTATTTTATTTTGAAAAAACTATTACTGAAACACAGGGGGATTCCTGTGATATCAAGAAGTTTGATGCCCAATAAGATGTCTGTCTAGAATGCAAAATACTGGAAAAACATAAATGGGAATCATTAATTGCCAGTGACATCATAAAGATTACGTTACTATCTTACAGACAGAGAGTAACAAGATTGCAATTGCTTTAAGTAACATCTATCTCAGCAGGTGGGGTCTTTTTTTTTAAATACTTTTTTCAAGATCCCTATTCCGCTGTGAGATACATGTTGCAAGTACTGTTACTTGGCCTCCTTGCACTGTAGTTACTATACATATATGCATACCTGCACTTTTGCACTACTCTCTCTCTCAGAGACCTGCAGAGTGATGACGTAAATGTTGTGCAAAAATTCTCGCTGGACCTTTAGGTGAAAGGTAAGAGAAGGACCAATTCTCTTAACTTAGGAGTCTAATTTTCTTTGCTTTTGTACAGCAAGCAACTATAGGTTCTAAACTCATTATGTAATATATCTTCACTTATCAGTCTGGCAAACAGGTCACATGGTTAGAAGGGGTTCCCAAAACTGTACTCAATCCCTTTCATTAATTTCAAGAAAAATGGCAGCAGTCATGCCTGGACATACCCCCTTTCACAGAAAAGAAAGTTTAGTTTTTGAAACTCAGTTGAACCAAGGACGTTTATTGACATCTTATACGTCCTTGGTTGAACAAAGTCTTGTAGACTTCGCAATTTCTTTCACTTCTGCTAGAGGTGGAAACCCAGTTTCCCA